AAGAAAGGGGACCCAACAGAGTGTGGAAATTATTGAACAACATCATTAATATCACATGTAAGCAAGATTCTGCTGAAAATTATCCAAAAATGATTGGAGCAATATATCAACAAAAAAACTGTCAGATGTCCAGGCTGGATTTAGAAGAGGTCATGATACTAGGGATATTATAACTAATGTTAGATGGATCTTGGCTGAAAGCAGAGAGTACCAAAGGAATATGTATCTGTGCTTCATTGCCAATGCAAAGGCTTTTGACTGTGTGGATCACAAGATATGGCTGACTCTGAGAAGAATGGGAATCCCAGAACATTTGTTTGTGCTAATGCAAAACCTATACTTGGACCAAGGAGCAGTCATTAGAACAGGGCAAGGAGACACTGGATGGTTCAAAATCAAGAAGGGGGTCCACTGGGATGTATTTTGTCTCCTTACCTTTTCAATTTGTATGCAGAACAGATCATCCAAGACACTGGGCTGTACGAGGAGGAATGTGGCATCAGGATTGGTGGAAGAGTCATCAACAACCTGCGTTATGCAGATGACACAACCCTGCTTGCTGAAACTGAGGAGGACCTGAAGCACTTTCTGCAGAAGGTCAAGGACTGCAGCCTTCAATACGGATTGAAGCTCAATATCAAGAAAACAAAGATATTCACCACTGGACTAATTGGCAACATCAGTATGGGTGGTGAAGAGATTGAGATAGTTAACAGTTTCCATTTGCTTGGCTCCATAGTCAACATTCTTGGCACCAGCAGCCAGGAAATTAAAAGCCATATTGCGATAGGAAAGTCGGCTGTTAGGGATCTCTCCAAAGAACTGAAGAATAATGCTGTCACTCTGGAGTCTAAGGTGTGCCTGATACAGGCCATGGTCTTTGCAATCACTTGCTATGTGTCAGAGAGTTAGACAATGACTAAGGAGGATAGAAGGAGAATTGATGCCTTTGAGCTTTGGTGCTGGAGAAGAGTTTTGAATATACCATGGACTGCTAAGAAAACTAACAGGTTCATCCTAGAGAGGGTTAAATCAGGCTGCTCCTTGGAGTCAAGGATTCTGAAGCTTCGTCTGACATACTTTACACATGTTTCAGGAGAGGACTGGTCCTTGGAGAAGGACGTTATTCCTGAGAGGGTGGAGAGACAGTGCAGGAGAGGAAGACCCTCTTTGAGGTGGATTGATTCAGTGACTGAGATCATCGGGGTAAGTGTGTCAGTGACAGTGAGATTGGCACAGGATAGAGCAGGGTTTTAGGCTGTTGTACATAGGGTCGCTGTTAGTTGCAGGCAATTCAACGGCACATAACAACAATAACAACATGGCCTGAATCAGGCGCACCTTAGTCACTAGACTGACACTGTTACTCCTCAGAATTCTGTAGAGGTTCCTGACAGCAGGCTTCCCCAGTATAATGCGTCTTTTGATTTCCTGACTGCTGGTGCCAAGAGTGTTGACTGTGGAGCTGAGCAAGCTTAAATAGTTAACAACCTCAGTCTCTTCTCCATCTATCATGGTGCTGCCAGTTGGTCCAGTGGTGAGAATCTTTGTGTACTTGATGTTACGCTTCAATCCGTAAGTAGGTAAGCAGTAAATCTCAAGGGAGAAGACTGCCCATCTGTGGAGCGGCCACCTGATGGATGCTACTTGCATGCCTTTGGGCTTGCAGGATAGCTTCTTTCCACTAGATCACCAGAGCTCAATGGGTTTCGTTCTTCTTTATACATGGGGTTGGCTGTGATTCAGAGGTGACTCAGTTGTACCCTACTGTTGCTGTTGTGCGTTGCAACCTTCCTGCAGGCCTTCAGAGACAGTAAATCTCAAGGGAAAGAGAGTGCCCTCCTCCCATAGAGCAACTGGTAGACTCTAACTGCATGCCTTTGGGATTGCAGCACAGCTTCTTACCACTAGGCCACCAGAGCTCAGTGCCCCTCACGCCCCACTGTTCACAGATTTGAGTGCTTAGTGACGTTTGAGATGACAGTAATAGAGGACGCCCAGAGGAGTGCTCTTTCTGGAATCGGCTGTACCTCGTGTATTGTCACCACTGCACTAGTGGAAGTCACTCAGGGCACCTTGATGTGACTGACTTTTATGGTGAGGAGTTCTTTAAATAAGATCAGCTTCAGGAATTTTATATAAGCACTTTGCATTCAGCTTTTGACCGTTTTCCATTCTTAATTGTGGAGATTTCTGCTTCTGTGGATGGGGTCGAGGGTCATTGAAAACTTGTGAATTAACAACTAAAAATCCTGTCATCATGGACAAGGGGAAGCCAACATTTGGCTGTAATTTTTGTGATACCTAGAAGCGTCTGATGGCTTAGTAGGAAGGAGCTGCCCTGCCAACCTAACAGCATGGGTTCCAGTTCACCAGCTGTTCATGGAAGACAAGTGTACAGTCTCCACTCATATAAAGCTTCTGAAAACCTGGGGAAGGGTCAGCGATGAGTCGATCTGACTCTGCATTACGTACAATGCAAAGAAGAGATGGATGGCAAGCCACACACCTGGCCTCATAGCCACCCAGGAATCTGGCGATTTTGGTCGTCCAAGAAGCAGTGTTTCTAGAAGCCAGAAGCGTGTGGCCTCTGCTCTGTGTCCCAACTTTCCCCTGGTGCTGTCATGCAAACTCAGAATAGGCTACGAAGGATCCTGATAAACTTGATGGTGGTTATTGTTGTTGTTAGGTGCTATCGAGTACAACTCATAACAATCCTGTGAATAGAAGATCTAAACTCTGCTCTATCCTGTGCCATCTTCACACTTCGTGACACACAAGCGCCCATTGTGGCAGTTACCATGTCAGTCTACCTGGTTGAGGGCCTTCCTCTCCTTTGCCGAACCTCCACCCTTCCCAGCATCATGTCCTTCTCCATGGAATAGCCTCTCCTAGCAATACATCCAAAGTATGTTAGGCAAAGCCTCATCACTCTTGTCTTCAAAGATCACTTTGGCTGCACCCTCTCCAAGGCATATCTGTTTATTCTCTTGGCCGTCCATAACATGTTCACTGCTCTTCTGCAACACCACAGCTCAAAGGTATCAATTCTCTCATCCTTATTCATTGTCCAGCTCTCAGAGGCATAGTAAGTTATCAAAAAGACTATGGCCTGAATCAGACGCACCTTAGTCCTCAAATTGACATCACTACTTCTCAGTAATGTGGAAAGATCCCTGTCTGCAGATTTTCCCAATACAATGTGTCTCCTTACTGGCTGCTGGTACTAAGAGTGTTAATTGTGTATCCAAGCAAGATGAAGTTGATTATTTCAGTCTCTTCTCTGTCTATCATGATGCTGCCTGTCATACCTGAACAGGAGATGGTTGTGTGAACACAGCAGTGGAACACTGTATGGTTTAAAATTAAGAAAGAAGAGCATCAAGATTGTATTGTCTCTCTCTCCATACCTATTCAATCCGTGTGCTGAGAAAATTGTTGGAGAATCTGGACTCTGTGAAGAGGATTATGACAGAAGAGAAACTCATCAATACCTTGTCTGATTCAGATGAGATAACCTTGCTTGCTAAAAGTGAGGAAGACTTGAAGTGTTGTAGAATTTCAAGGAATGCAGCCTCCTGTATGGATTTGCATCTTAGTGTCAAGAAAACAAAGACTTACCACTGTTCTTCCATGGTGGCAGGCCTCTTTTGTCTTGACTGCAGTGTCTTTAGGGTCACCTTTACTACTGAGGGGTTAATTCCTCTGTTGGATTTTCTAATCTTCTTAAGTCTTTCCTCCTTGGAAAATGAGAGAGCTGGCCTGAGCAGATAGTTGAACGTGATAACTGGTCATTTAAGGTATCCTTTGTTGGTTAACCGTCTACAAATATTTGTAGAAATCAGTATAAGAGTATTTGCAAATTAAGCATTTTCCGCCCTCACAAGTTAGAGACAGCAGTTAATGTCAGTCAGACTGTCCCACCAGCTGTAACATCACTGACTAGTTTTTCTCCCCATAGATGAACAGTTCTGTGCTATTAAATTTTCAGTGCTAGCTGATTTATAGGGAGCTCTTGTAAAGAGTTGGTGCTACCAACACAAAGGCGTGCACCTCGAAGTGTTTCACAGGAGAAAGGTGGGCAGTCTCTTCCCAGGGGATTTACAGCCTCTTAAAACGTACTGGAGGTTCAGCTGTGAGTCGATTCTGACTCAGAGGCAATGAATGGGGTTGTTGAGTTGAGGCAACGTATTAATACAAGCACCAAAAATATACTGTTAATAAAACACCAGCCAGCAATAATAAACCAGCAATCAAGTGTCTTCTAACAGCCCTGGGGGACAGAGCAGAACTGTCTCACAGGATTTCCAAGGTTGAGACCTGCACAGAAGCATCACCTCACCTTACTTCTTTGGAGCAGCTGGTGGGAGGAAACACGGTTAGAAGCCAGATATACTTAAAACACTGAGTCACCAGCAATCCCAGCGTTGAACAAACTGCTAGCTCTCAGTTCTGACCCAAGCTACCCGAGGACAACAGATAGGTCCCATCGTGGCTTCACAGCTGTCAGTCTTACGGAATCAGCCTGCCTCATCACTCTCCTGTAGAGCCTCTGGTGGGTTCGAACCACTGGACATTTGGTTAATGGCCGAGCGCTTGAGCCACAGCATGACCAGAAATGGCTTGTTCTGCTGTCCTCACCCGCAAACTTGGGGGGCGCATTCTCCCTCCCAGGCATGTATGGGGGGTGCTGAGGATGGAGGTTTCTTCCTTTGCCTGGTTGAGAGACACATTTCCTTTGTTGTTTATGTCTTTGAAATATTTTTTATTGGTTTTCAGAGAATAATTCCTTTGTATGTTTTTTCATTTATATCCATTGTGTTTTCTAGGATCTTTCATGTGCACTTTGTTTCACACAATCATTCATTTCCTTTGGTTCTGAGGGAAGGCCGCAGTCTCCATGCCCTGGAGGGGGCCCCTGGCCGCAGTCCCCATGTCCTGGAGGGGGCCGTTGGCCACAGTCCCTAGCTCGAGCTCACTGTCCCCCCTTTTGTTCGCAGGGCTCCCGTGTCTGGCTGCGTGAGAATGGACAGCACTTCCCGAGCACCGTGGAGTCCTGTGCTGAGGGCGTCGTCGTCTTCAGGACTGACTACGGTCAGGTGAGAACACGTCCCTGCTGGGTGCTGACACGCGGGCGTGGCCCCCACAGAGCATCCCCTCCGCGGGTGTCTCCCCACCACACGCCTTCCTCGCACTTCCCAAGTGATGAAGGTCCCAGAGAGGTGGTGCAGAGCAAGACTGTGCCTGTGATACACGGCATCGAGTTCTCCCCAGCAGTGTCTAGACGGTGGCATTCAGGGTGGGACAGCACAGTGCTGGCCCAGGCCACGTCCCCCTCCTGGATTACTTTCCACGGCCTTCCATTGCTTCCAAAGACCCCAAGACTATATAGAGTACATTCCATTGGCGACTAGGACATGCATACTGTAATTCGCTGGTTGGTTTCACTGATTAAAAACAAATTACAGTCAGAAGGATTCAACTTGTGTGGCTCCGCAGGGTTTTCACTGGCTCATCTTTCAGAAGGAGGTTGCCAGGCCTTTCTTCTGCGGCACTTGTGGAAGTACTGGCACCTCTACCATTTTTTTCAGTAGCCAAGCATGTTAACTTTTGCATCACCTGGGGACGTCTGCTTTGCTCCTATTTCCCCCTTACACTTCCATAGCGTATTCAAGGTATTTCCAGGAGAGGGCAGGGTAGGGGTACCCTGTCCAGGTCAGAACTAACTAGATTGATGAGACCACATGACATGAGCTTATCCACAATGTTAAGCAGTGGAGAAGATGTATTTCATCTTCGGTGTGTGGTAACCCTATTTGAAAATGGATGAAAGCCCGTGTTCCTGAGGAGAAGCATGTAAATCCAGAACCTGCTTCCAAGGAGAGCTTGGTTCCCGAGTGTTAGTTCACTCCCGTCTAAGGAGCCCGGCTTCTCTGTTTTTATAAAGTCACCACATTTCATGTTAGATCTGGCTCCTCACATCACAGGCACTGGTTCGAGAGAAAGAGATTAAGTTGTGCCTTTGTGATTTCAATACACAGTCTGAATGCAGTTTGCTGTGTGTGTTGAACAGAAAATTTCAAGTTCGGTTTCCCATTGTTGGAAGCCAGCTGGCTACTTGGTGACCAAAATTTCATAGCATGGGCAGCCCACTGGGTTCCTCCTTTCTCATCTGCCTCTTTTCTAGCATTCTCAGTGTGGCCCTTGAGTCAATTCTGGGTCATCGTGGCCCTGAAGGATAGAGTAGAACTACCTGCCCCAGGGTTTTCAAGACTGTGAGTCATCCTGGGAGCAGACTGCCACTCTTTTCTCCTGTGGCTTAGAACCACTGACCTTTCAGGTAGAAGCTATGCACTTAACCACTGCACCACGAGGACTGCTTTGTGTAGTCCTCTGTGGTTCAGATTAATAGAAAAGTGAGCTGATGTTAAGAATTGGGTTCAGATTTGGATCAGCAATGGGCAGTGGTCAGAAGACACTGTGGTCGCTCTTGGCTGGCTTACTTCTTCCATTCCAAGGTCATAAGTTCAGTGAGTAACATGTGGGGTGTAGCCTGTCCCTGAGGCTTGGACGCCTGTAAGCTGGCCCTGGTGTCTTTGTCAGGAGCTGGGATAAGAGCCCCTACCCTTCACATAGGCTGGGCTAGACTCAAGGAAGGCATAGGCATCAAGGACCAGGCAGAGCATGGTGTCCATTTGAAACCAGTCCATGCAGCTTTTAAGACATTGGCTGATCTTGATTCAGATTTGGTCTAAGCGTGTTAGGACATCGTGCTTGGAGAAATAGAGGATCAGCAAAAGAGAGAAGAACCTCAACAAAATGTGTCGACATCGTGACTGCAGCTCTGAGCTTCAGGACAGTGGAGGTTTCGGGGGCAGAGCCGGATGGTGCAGGGGCTTGTTCTGTCGTACGTGGGGTCACCGTGAATCTATGAACTGCTTCCTAAAGGAGTCTATACTGGTGTTTGCCAGAAAGCTGGACATCGTAGTCTGGTCAGCTGGACTTGTAAAGTAGCCAGCACATCATGCTTGCTGGGAAGTGTGCACAGATGCAAAAGAAATGCGTAAATGACATCCAGAACACGACTGGACAGTGGGCCTGGCCTCGGAGGACCTGGCTTATGTCAGGCTGGCACCTGCCTGGGAGTCAGAAGTAGGTGAGGTGTTCCTGCTGTGAAAGCAGACTGTCGGAAGTTCTGGCCCCATGTTCCCTTGGCCCAGTGTGTCGTCGGGGCTGATAGGATGCGACGGCCGGGTCTTCTTGGAGGAAACAATTGGAGAGCAGTATCGTGTGCACAGTTGTGTTTTCTGGGACATTTTGAGAAGCCCAGCATCCTAGCAGGAAGCTACGTTGGCTTGGTGTGAGGAGTTGAGTCGAAGTCACTTAATGGCAATCCAGAGAGCAACGGTCCAAAGGCCGCTAGGATGGTGGTGGTGCACCGTCGAGTCAGAAACGACCCTTATCTGGACCCCCCCCCCCTCCAGTAGGTTTTCAGGGGCAGGACTTTTCACAGGAGGAGATTTCTCATCTTTCTCCCTTAGAGCAGCTGGTAGATTCACACCACACACCTTTGCATTGGCAGCTAAATTCCTTCAACCTGATCCTGTGCCACCCTCACAACCGAGGTCGTCTGGATGTATATCTGTGACGAAACGTGTACTAGAGTCTCTGTTAGCTCGGACTAAGTTCTTCGTTCAGTTTTTTGCTTTGACAGCTTCAGCTCTTATTATCTTTTCTGGAAAGAGGCTAATTTGATTCATCCTAACGCCAAATGAGAGTACTCTACTTAATTGCATTTTAAGGGGGGTAATTTCATGTTCCCCGTAAACTTAATCAAGGTGATTGCTCTGCTAATGGTTCTGGTGGTGTTCCAGGGGCATTGTCTCTCCACAGGGGCCCTCTGAAATATTTACTATCTGGAAACGCAATCTCCGACAGCTACAAGTTAACTGTGAGCCCCCCACTTTTTCTTTTTTATTTGCAGGAAGTCTTAGTATAAGGCTTGGTTTGAAAAGTTAGTCATCAAATTTTGTTAATCAGCCGAAAGGCTATTAGATTACCTGGCTCGAGGTCCCCAATAATACAGACTTAAAAAAAACCCCACCAAAACCAGCTCCCAATAAGAACATAAAATGTGCCATTTTATAAGCACACAGTGCAGTGCCAGGAATAACCTTCACTATGCTGTGCTCCCAACACCACTACTAGCTGGTTCTAGAAACTTCAAGCACCTTCAGAAATGACTATTCCTGCCCCACAGACATACCCCCACACCAATACCAAATTTTATTTCTGTAACATTGCTTATTCCAGATATTTCATATAAATAATACAGTATTTATCTTCTGTGTGTGTGTGTGTGTGTGTGTGTGTGTGCGCGCGCGCGCGCGGGTTGGATACAGTAAATTCATTGTAGCCCTGGTAGCCCAGATTGGTATGTGTTGAGCTGAGAGTGTTAACTGAAAGTTTGATGGTTCGAATCCATTAGCCGCTCTGTGGGTCAAAGATGAACCGTCTCTTGTAGATATGTACAGCCTCAGCCCCCGATGGAGGGTCTCTGTGCGTTGAGATCAACCTGAGGATGGTGGGGTTGGAATTTTTTTTATATATATATATTTTTATTTTATTTTATTTTATTATTTTTGTGCGTGTACCGTCAAATCAGATCTGACTGGTACTGGAGGAGATTGCCCCTCCTTCCCCGGCAGAGCATCTGGTGGATTCGAACCGTGCACCTCTGGGATTGTAGTTGCAGCTTCTTGCCACTAGGCCACCAGAGCTCCCCTTGGGTTGGAATTTTTAATGAAAGTTTATGAACACTTAGAGTTTTCAGTCATTTACTGTTGCTCTTTTCTCCCTGCCCACCCCCTCGCCCCAATTCACTCTTCTCCTTGAAAGAAAAAAACAAAACTCTTTCATTGTTATGCAATCCCTCCCCTAGGTCCACTCCACTGTGCAGCCTTCATTCTGGACTCCTGTCATGACAATAATACCCATTCATATATTCCTTTTAAACAGTTCTCTCCCTCATGTTTCAATGCAGTATACATCATTCCTCCCCTCCTTCTCTGTCTTCCCTCAACCCCAATGTTAGTCCTGTTTTACAACAGTGGCACTATGCAATATTTGTCCTTTAGTGACTGAGGTATTTCAGTCAGCATAATGCCCTCCAGGGTCACCCATTTTGCATATTTCATGAGTTCTTTGTTTTTCAATGCTGCATAATATTCCATTGTATGAATATACCAGAGTTTCTCTATCCATTCGTTTGTTGATGGGTACTAAACATGGGTGTGCATATATCTGCTTGCGTGGCAGTTATGGTTTCTTTAGGGTAAATTTGCAGTAATGAAGTTTGAGTCAAATGGTATTTCTATTTGCAGCTTTTTGAGAAAGTGCCATACAGCCTTCCATAGTGGTTGCAGCATTTTACACTCCCACCAACAGTGAATTAGGGTTCCAGTTTCTCCGCAACCTCGCCAGCATTTGATGTTTGCTGCTCTGTTAAATTTTGCTATTCTTACTGGGGTGAGATGATATCTCATAGTTGTTTTGTGGGTTTGGAATTTTTGTGGAGATAAGTTGGCTGACCTGGAAGAAGCTGCTGTGTGTGCTGTCGTTGCCAGGAAGGCCGGCGCCTCTCTGCAGCCGCAGGTGCTGCCGCCTGTCCTGTCTCACACGCACAGCCAGCTGTTGGCGGAGACAGCTGCCCACCAAGAGGGAGCACAGAGGGGACCAGGCTCACTCTGCCACGGCCACATGGAGCCGGGAGTGGCAGCTGCCTCGGGCCCCTGTGGGGCTCCCAGCAGGAGGGAACACACAGTTGGGTGCCAAAAATGACACAAGCCATGTTGTGCTCCTGTCCCCACCCCCTCATTCCCAGGAAGAGCCCTACATGGTAAATGGGAAGATGGCACCTAAGCGGTCAGGAGGAGAGAGAGGGATTAGAGGACAACACTCTTGACTCCAAAGTAGCAACAGTAGAGTGTGTGCAGTGACCAGATCCAAGTCCAAGTGTGAGACACAAAACTTGCTTCTGAGTCACTGACCTGTGTACGGTTCCTATGCTTATATAGATTTAAAAAGAATGCATATTCTA